TGGACCTGACCTGGACAACCCCTGCCGCGGCCCGGAGGATTGGGGGGTGGGCGGTGGCTGAGGGAGTTGAAACTCTCTCTGACCACCGCTACATTACGATGAGGCTTGATCCCCTCTCTGTTGGGAGGCGTGGCCCCCCTGCCCCTCGGGGCGGGGGTGTGGGGTGGTGCCTGGGGCGACTGAGTGAGGACCGCCTCAGAGCCGCCCTGATAGCGGGCACGTGGGGGGTGGCCCCTGAGGGCCCGTGCAGGGACGTGAATACTGAAGCGGGGTAGCTGGTCCGGTGTGTGGCGCGCGCGTGCAGCGTTGCCATGCCCCGGGCTGGTCCGCCCCGCCGGGGGGCGGTCTACTGGTGGTCCCGTGAGCTGGCGGAGATAAGGGAGGGATGCTCCCGGTCACGACGGAGACTACTTAGGGCCCGGCGAAGGGCGAATAGGGACACGGAGGGGGAGAGGGTACTGTACAGTGAGTACGGAACCCGGGTCGTTGCCCTTCAGACAGCGATCCGGGAGACTAAGGCGCGGGCATGGGGGGACCTTCTGTCCTCCCTGGACAGGGATCCATGGGGGCGCCCGTACAAAATAGTCACCGGGAAGTTGCGACGGGCCCCCCCTGCAGTGGATTCCCTGGACCCCCGGGCCCTTGAGAGCATTGTTGATGCCCTCTTCCCCTCCGGGGGGAGTGGTGGGGCGTCGGAGGGCGGGGATGGGGAGGTGCACCCGGACTCTGTCCCCCCGCATCCCCCCCTCGAGGAGCAGGAATGGAGGGATGCCGTCGGAAGGCTGGGCGCCCGCCGAGTGGCGCCGGGGCCTGACGGCATCCCCGGAAGAATATGGGTGCTGGCTCACGGGATTGTTGGTGACCGCCTGAGGCGACTGGTGGAGGGATGCCTCGGCTCGGGGACTTTCCCCCGGGGGTGGAAGGGAGGCAGGATGGTCCTCCTCCACAAAAACGGCAGGCCGGCGGGGAGCCCCTCCTCCTATCGGCCTCTCTGTGTGCTCGATGAGGCGGGAAAGTTACTAGAGAGGATTATCGTGGTGCGCCTCATCGGGCACCTTGAGCGGGTGGGGCCCGATCTCTCCACGGAGCAATATGGCATCCGTGGAGGCCGGTCGACGCTGGATGCGGTCCAGCGAGTCCGGGATCTCACGGGGGAAGTTGTCTCCCGGGGGGGGGTGGCGTTGGCGGTCAGCGTAGACATTGTCAACGCCTGGGGGGGGGGGGGGGTGGCGCTGGCGGTCAGCATAGACATTGTCAACGCCTTCAACACCCTCCCCTGGGCGGCTATTAGGGGGGCCATGGAACGCCATGGGCTGCCCCCCTATATTAGGAGATTGATCGGGTCCTACCTGCAGGAGAGGACGATAGAATATCGGGACTGTGAGGGGGGCTCCCATGTGAGGGGTGTCTCGTGCGGGGTCCCGCAGGGATCGGTCCTTGGGCCTACCCTGTGGGCCCTCGCGTATGATGTGGTATTGCGTGTCGGCCTGCCGGCTGGCGTGGGGCTGGTGTGTTATGCGGATGACACACTAGTCCTCGCCGGTGAGGCATCGTGGGGGAGGGCCGCCCGACTCGCGGAAATGGGAGTGGCGCGCGTGAGTGCGGCTATCCGCGCCCTGGGGCTGCGGGTTGCTCCGCAGAAGACGGAGGCCATGTGGGTCTTCGATTAGAAGCGGAGCGGCCCGCCTCCTGAAGGGGCGCCGATCGGGATCGGGGAGGCTCGGGTGGGAATCGGGGAAACCATGAGGTACCTTGGTCTCACCCTGGACAGCCACTGGAGCTTCAGGGTTCATTTTGAGGGGCTTGGCCGCGGGTTGAGGGGGCGGCAGCGGTTATGGCGCCGCTGCTCCCCAATCTCGGCGGACCCAGAGAGGAGGTGCGTCGTTGTATGTCGGGGTTGTGCGGTCCATGATTTTATATGGATCACCAATATGGGCAGGAGAACTCACGGCTGGTCGCCGCAGCTGGGTGAAGGTTGAGGGTGTCCAGAGGCGACTGGCCGTGAGGATTGTGAGAGAGCAGAAGGGGGTAGTAAGAGAGGGCGTTGCGTAGAAGGGGGAGGGGCGTCCTCGTGCAGGAGTAAGTCGTCCGTTTCGTCGAAACTGATCGGGTCGCGATACGGGCCCACTGATTGACCAGTGGGCAAAGGAGCTCGAGGTCTAGGGGAGGAAGCTAGGCTAGTAGGGGGCTGAGGACGCTCGGGGGACTCGCGATCTTCTACTTGCGGAGGGTTGGTACGCCTGGACTCGTCAAAACTAGGGTCTGTCACTGCGGCGGTGAGAGTGAAGGGAGCAGATAATCCGCGTTCATCCTCTGCCGGATCCCACGACACCAGGACATGCGGATACAACCGACGAACTTCATACCTCCAGAAGCGATCTAAGAGGTCGTCCCGGTCACCCGTCACTTTCAGGCCGGCGTGGTCGCAGAGCCGTAGAATGTCGCACACATTAGTGAGGCCTTTTAGGTCCTCCCGAATCTTGACTATGGCATCTATTTCCCCGGGGGAGGGCGTAGTGGCTGGAGGGGCTATCATAGCAGGGGGAGGAGGGGGCATAATCCGGGAGAATGCACTGGGGGTGGTAACGCTCGTGGTAGTGGAATTTATCCCGAAACCGGTGGTGACGAGATCCATTTTTGTTGGAAGGGAAGGGCTTAGGGAAGGGGTACCGAGGTAAGCACTTGGAGGGAAAGCTTCAGAAGGAGGGTGACTCTATTTCTGATATTATCGGGCCCTACGTTGGGCGCCAAAATTTGTGACGTGCTGGACCACGAAAATGGCCTAGGGTCTGCTCGAATTAGCTATCGCAACGCGGAGGGGGAGAGAAATAAAGAAAGGGGACACGGTGTAGAATTAAGAAAAGAAAGTATAATTAATAAAGTACAGTCGTAGTATGAAGCAAAATAGTTAGTAATAAATATAAAACCGAAAGCTAACAGGAACATAAAAGAAAAGAAAAGAAAGGAAAATACGGCGGCAGATGTCTGCACGCTCTATCACGCGTTGGCTCGCGCGGGCGCACGCGGCCTCGGGAGAATTTAAAGGGACATGGTGGAGGAAAAGGGGGTTTCGGGGATGGAGAAGGAATCTATGGGCGCTAGCTACTTGTACGGCGTAGCACCGACGAGTGACCCCGAAAGGTCCCCGTTTGTTTACTCTACGGGACTGACAGGGCTAGCGGCGGGAGAGATCAGGGGATCTCAGGGAGGAAGGTTCCCGAACGCAAAAAAGGCTACTTTACAAATTACCTCGGTCACGATATGCAAGGAGGGCAGGTGGTGGAAAAAGGAAGGTACGGAGGGTTTCGTAAGAGGGACGCAAAAATACTAAAACTAGGGCGCACGGAATATACCACGGGCCTCGAGTGTAAAGGCGGAAGGCCCGTCGCAAATACAAATGAACTACTGAAATGCCGGCCCACGTGGGGAAGGCTGGCGGCTAGGAGGGTGATAGGAAAGGGATGGCAAATAGGGAGAATTCAAGCACACGGTACTCACTCAACAATCGTCTCACTGTAATCCAAAATAACGCCTAGTGGGCACTCTCACAATAATCCAAATCGCAATCACTCTCGCACTCAAAATTCGCACTCGCTATCAGCGCTATCCTGACTCGAAGTGACGAAATTTCCGGTCGTTTTGGCCCTCGTGGGCCGCCAGGGCCTCGGTGATTGGCTGGATCTTCTCAGCTGAGAGGGCTACGCGCTTTGGCATTAGTCGGTAGTTCCGGCATGGCAGGGCATTGGTCCTTTTCGAATAGGCTGTGTTGCCGGGCCTTCAAGGGCCTCGTGGCGTCGGCACGGCGCTGGCTCTGCCGGCGTGCGTGCTGGCTGCGCGCGCCGGTTAATATGGCGGCCTCCAGGCCTGTCAAAATCCTCCCGGGCACGTCCGCGGTCTTGGAGGGAGAGAGCTTCGCCGCTGTCACACGGGACTTTTTTGCTACCCGTGTGACAGGACTGCACCGGGGCTGCATCTCTGTGGCGATGGTGGATATCCACCCCACGGACATCTCGATCAGTTGTTCCTCCTGTCCATGCCATCCCTACCTTCCGTTGCCTCAGCCACGTAGCCACTCTCGCGGTCCATCCAGGGATGCTGTGTCCTCGTCGCAGGTCCACGACGATGTCCTCGAGGCGGATGCTTGTTGTTGGTCCTCGAGCCAGTGCCCTACGGGGAAATGTTGACAGGAAGGGAACGGTGAAGAGGGGGGGGGGATCTTACGACTAGTTATAATAAACCTAGAACACTAAATACGCTCGATTAACAATACTAACAATAAAGCGCAATACCCAATGCCTGTGGGACCTCGAGCCAGCAGGCGGAGGGGAGTCTGTAGTAACATTTTTGTTACAATACATTCTGCTTAAAACCAACCTCTTCTACACCGCAGACATATTCAATAACTGTAAGCAGCAGAATCAAGGTAAGCACAATCAAATTATTATTGGTGAAGGTACTCTTTAATTTTTGCTGAATTATCATAAATGTTAGACTTCCTAAATTCAATTGTTTAGTTGGGGATGGTTTTCATTTGTTTAGAAACTTTCAAATCAATCCTAGAAAATATCCAGTTCAATTTATCAATCCGGAGTAAAGTGCGCAAGCATTGACTCAAAACAGGGCAAAGTTATAGTATATTACGGTTCGGTAAAGGCACCAGTCTAAGCCTCCATTCTGGTTCGGACGTAACAATTGTTATGCACCACGATAGGATTCGTCGTATAGTTAATCTCCAGACGCAAAGTCAGCATTAGACGAATGCTAACCCTATGCATAAGGCGTTAAGTTAAAAGCGACGAGAGACACCTTGTGAGCCACAGCGGTCACTCGCAAAGTTTCTAGCTAAGAGTGAAGTCCTGGAGCGTATTCATAGTTGTGAATAATTAGTATCATTGTGCCTACTCCTATTAAATCTTGTGTTATCTTAGTATTTACATTATACCAACTTCAATAAACTATAATAGTTATCTATAAAATTCCAAATCGGTGCAATTATTTATTTGTGATCCTAAAGAACTCATGACGGCATAACAACATACAAATTTTTAAAGAAAATGTAATCTTCAATGCATAAAAGCATCGTTAATGGTGTCCAGCTTGTTGAAGCCGTGTGGTAAACGTAAGAGAGGAGAGTGTGCTGGATTATTTAAGTACCTCAGGCCGTGCGAACAACAGAGAGGATACTATGTTGTGAGCGAAACGCCGAAGCGTTGCTCGTTGCACACTTTTCTGGACACTCTGGACTTCTACGTCCGACACCTAGATACAAGAAACTACAGAACGGAATACCTGGACGCCCTGGACTTCCACGCCCGGCATCTAGAAACAGGAAACTGTGAAGCGGAATACCTGGACACCCTGGACTTTTACATCCGGCACCTGGAAACAGGAAACTGCGAAGCGGAATACCTGGACACCCTGGACTTTTACATCCGGCACCTGGAAACAGGAAACTGCGAAGCGGAATACCTGGACACCCTGGACTTTTACATCCGGCACCTGGAAACAGGAAACTGCGAAGCGGAATACCTGGACACCCTGGACTTTTACATCCGGCACCTGGAAACAGGAAACTGCGAAGCGGAATACCTGGACACCCTGGACTTTTACATCCGGCACCTGGAAACAGGAAACTGCGAAGCGGAATACCTGGACACCCTGGACTTTTACATCCGGCACCTGGAAACAGGAAACTGCGAAGCGGAATACCTGGACACCCTGGACTTTTACATCCGGCACCTGGAAACAGGAAACTGCGAAGCGGAATACCTGGACACCCTGGACTTTTACATCCGGCACCTGGAAACAGGAAACTGCGAAGCGGAATACCTGGACACCCTGGACTTTTACATCCGGCACCTGGAAACAGGAAACTGCGAAGCGGAATACCTGGACACCCTGGACTTTTACATCCGGCACCTGGAAACAGGAAACTGCGAAGCGGAATACCTGGACACCCTGGACTTTTACATCCGGCACCTGGAAACAGGAAACTGCGAAGCGGAATACCTGGACACCCTGGACTTTTACATCCGGCACCTGGAAACAGGAAACTGCGAAGCGGAATACCTGGACACCCTAGACTTCCACAGCATGCCACCTTGGTAAGCCAAAGTACGAGCCTCTGCTCATGAACATTTTTTTTTCATAAATTTTGTTATACATTTTACGTATGAATTTGTTTCAAGTTAGAATAATAGTCATGAAAAATTGTATTAGTGTAACAATTTTTATTTCAGGCATTGCTCAAAATGTCCACCTTCAATCGCAATGCAAGCTCGTATTCTGTTTATAAAATTACATTTACATTTACGCTTTACATTTACGAGCATCTCGGGAGTGACGCTGGCAAAGGCTCCGTTTATCCGGCTTCTTAAGTTTTCGACCGATACAACAGGATGTCAATAAACCTTCTCCTCGGTGTACCCCCAAAGGAAGAAATCCAGCGGATTTAGATCTGGAGATCTTGGAGGCCAAAGCACGGGACCAATCAATCGGCCTGGAATCGCATGGTCAAGCCATATTCACACCGCTGCCAAGTAATGCACAGGTGCACCATCATGTTGTAGCCACGCTGTGGCTTCTTCGTCCACACTGATACCGACAGCTCGAAGAAGTTCTCTCAAATTGAGAATCAAATAGCGTCGGTACTCAGAGCCGGTCAATGTGTTGGGGAGAATGTGAGGTCCAATCTAAAAAAAAAAATATTATAGTCGCACGGTTAACTCGAAAACGAAGGTCATTTCTCATGAGATAAAACTGGTTTTTCAAATTTTTATGTCAAAGAGTTTAAAATGTCTGAAATATGCAGAGAATCACATTTTGAAAAAAAAAACCTCTGCGTGCGTGCGTGTGTATGTGTGTGTGAGTGTGCAGATTTTGCAAATTTTTAGCCAGGAGGCTATTGTACTGATAGTGTTTAAGAATAAACTGTTAGTGTAAATGGTATGTACTCACAAGTTTATCGCCCTTAATCCCGGCCCAGAGGTTTATCGAAAACCTCGACTGTCGAGTTCGGTTTTGTACCAAGGCAAATGGATTTTCGCCACGCTTTTCGTACTGATGGAAGTTGTGCGTATTCCATGTAGTATCACGTCCAGAGTGTGATTCGTCCGTGAAAATGATTGAATCAATAAAACTTGGATTCCTATCGTGCATTTGTAGGACCCATTGGCAGAACTCCAATCGAGCCGGAAAATCATGATGATTAAGCGACTGCACGCGTGTTAGATGGTACGCGTGCATTCGACAATCTTTTATAATTCGCTGTACGCATGCCTGTCCCAATCCATATAAACGGGCAATCTTCCTAACACTCGTATCCTTATTTTGTCTTAATTCTTGTTTTAGACGCCGAATATTACGTTCTGTTCGTCCTGTTCTCGGGCCCCCGCTACCATTTCCTTTTCGTACAGGAACGAGCGTGCCTGTAGTACGTACGCGATTTATAAGGCGGTATATCACACCCTTTGTAGCCGTTCTTTCTACGTGGGCGTTTCTCCGACCTCTTCTAGAATTTCTCCCGTCCACTTCTTCATTGTACGTCCTCGCGGCTGCCCGACCGTTTTCACCACAAATGAAGTGTAATTGAAGCATGCGGTAATATTCCGTTATACTGAATTCAGCCATCACTATGAAAATTATGCCATATGTCAACGCGATTAGATCAGTGTGAATAAGAAACAAATGAACTGCCTATTTCAACATAAGACATAGCTGAACGTTGCTAGGGACGGTCTCCTCGGCTGCATTTTGTTTTTCTGTGATCGCAAAATAAAATGCAATCGAGTAGGCTATTGTGAGCGTCATGTAGCTATACTTTATAATGGAATGGGAGAGTGCACTCGTTTCTCATTTGTTCTAACCCGATCGCAATCCTCCTATCGTTATAATCGCAATATTTTCCGAGTCATGACTGAATTTAGCAATTTTTTATCCCCTATGCTCTAATTATACTTCATTTAGTGAAAATTGTTCGTATAATGAAGATGAACAATAACAAATGATTAACTCGTTGCTGCACGAAAAGGAAATGGTAGCGGGGGCCCGAGGACAGGACGAACAGAACGTAATATTCGGCGTGTACAACAAGAATTAAGACAAAACAAGGATACGAGTGTTAGGAAGATTGCCCGTTTATATGGATTGGGACAGGCATGCGTGCAGCGAATTATAAAAGATTGTCGAATGCACGTGTACCATCTAACACGCGTTCAGTCGCTTAATTATCATGATTTTCCGGCTCGATTGGAGTTTTTTGCCAATGGGTCCTACAAATGCACGATAGGAATCCAAGTTTTATTGATTCAATCATTTTCACGGACGAATCACACTTTGGACGTGATACTACATGGAATACGCACAACTTCCATCAGTACGAAAAGCGTGGCGAAAATCCATTTGCCTTGGTACAAAACCGAACTCATCAGTCGAGGTTTTCGATAAACCTCTGGGCCGGGATTAAGGGCGATAAACTTGTGAGTACATACCATTTACGCTAACAGTGTATTCTTAAACACTATCAGTACAATAGCCTCCTGGCTAAAAATTTGCAAAATCTGCACAC